TTCATTTGTTTGTTTTTTTCGTTGTTTCTTTTTTTTTTTTTACTTTGAATCCGTGATTGATGGCCGACTCACGACGCCGGTGGCGCCATCACGCTGGCGCCATCCTCGGCGCCCAGGTGTGGCGTCGTCCAAACGATGGACGTGTGAACTAAACTACTGCATTGTGAAGAGGCACGTCCCGGCAGTTTGAGGGGCCTTAACGCGCGGCACGCACTGCAAAAAAAGTACTTCCTAGAGAAAACTCTTTTGGTCTTTTCCAAAAGCTATTTTTTTGTGCCATTTTGCGCGAATAAAAAGAAACGGAAACTTTTTCGCGTGTGCCCATCTTTAAGAGAGCATTGAGCGTCGTCGGGATCGCCCGATAAAATTGAATAGTGCGACAGTGAAATATGCGCGGTAAAGGTTTTCATTCTGGGAGGCCACGCCCACGCTCGCATCGGCATTCACCGAGCGTGGCCCCCAACGGCGGGAGAAATGTCGTCGCTGAGTGGTGGTACGCCTGCGCCGCGCCGCGCCACGCCACTCGACGCCCCGAAGGGATGCCAACTTGACAAATCGATCGCACACAGAAGCAAGCATTCCTGTAAGTGTGTGCGTGCGCGCGTGTGATGCTACTGGCTGGCACGCCCCGCCGCGCCTTTCGTCTTGACGTTTGACGTCTCTTCTTCTGACTGACCGCTCGGACACAATGGCATTGTCTCCCGCTCTCTCATCGCCAAGCGGCTAGAAAATCGAAAACCCTAAACCACAGGCGTAAATAATAAAAAAGAACCTTGTGTGTGTGTGTGTGTGCGTGTGCGTGTTTTACCGGTTAATTCACCGAATGTGTTTGTCTCCCTTCCAGGTTTGGCGGCTGGACCTTGTGATGGTGATCCTGTTCAAGGCCATCCCGCTGGAGAGCACGGACGGCGAGCGGCTTGAGAAGTCACCCGAATGCGCGCACCCCGGGCTGTGCGTCAACCCCTACCACATCAACGTGTCCGTCAGGGAGCTCGACCTCTACCTCGCCAACTTCATCAACAGCCACGGTGAGCAAGACGGTACGCAACGGACGGAGGGCGGTGGCGTCGTGTGTGGCATTTGAATAACAATGTGATTGTGTGTCGGGCGTAGTAGAAGAGGGTGAACCACCACCAATCGGGCACCAAAGGGGATGAGGGAAAAAGATAGAGAGGAAGGGGAAGCGGGCGGTCGTGTGTGAGAGAGAGCGAGCTGTAACAAGGCTGATGAGATACGAGAAGCCTGCGGCCGACGCAATCTTCGAGTAATACGACAATAAGTCTCAGTTTTCTTTCCCAATAGGGTCCTCTCTCCTCTGCATGGAAGCTATCGGCCTCGCCGCGGCACGCCCGTGATGAGGCAGGCACCGATGGAGTTGCGAGCTTCTGCTTGTCATTTTTCCTCATCCACATTGACGGTTTTTATTGCTGTTTTTGTTTTTCGGATGGCGCAGCCATGAATTCAAACAAACAAACAAACAAACAAACAATAATTCAATGAAACTTGTGTCCAGCGGCGCGGTTCTCTGCTGACAGTGTAGTCGCGTACCCGTAGTGGGGAGACAGGAAGCTGCTACCGCGTGCTGCGCCCGGCTCGACTCCGCCTGGCTCGGCCCGGCTCGGCCCGGCCCCGACTCGGCTCGGCTCGCCACGCGCTGCCTTCGCGGCGCGCCTGCTGTAGCGGAATAGACAAGAGAGCAGCAGCCGGTTGCATTTGAATTTGGCGCGATTAATTTTGTCGCGTGAGGGACTCGATCAGATGCTTGCGCTAATGGACGGGCGGCGGGCTGCGGAGAAGAGAGAGGGAGAGAGAGAGAGAGGCGGCTGCGGGAGAGATGAAGAGGGTAGGCTCCCGGGCGAGAGAGAGAAACAGAGACAGAGAGAAACAGCGTAGGGTGCGGCAGAGAGAAAGAGAGAGACGTAGAGATAAAGTGTTGTCTGGAGCCGGCGGCCATCGCCATCTTAGGGCTACCGCCGGGCTACCGCAGCGATGCCCATCAGTGCCCGCGAGCTTACACCTCGTCCTCCATACCCTCCTCCCTCCCCCCCTCCATTAATCGATGGACCAGAGGAGAGAGAGAGAGAGAGAGAGAGAGAGAGAGAGAGAGAGAGAGAGAGAGTGGGGGTGGGTTGGACGGAGAGCGACAAGGGAGAGGAGGGTGCGAAAGTGATGATGTGATTGATTCGAAACCTCGGCCGGACACGACGGTCTGGTCGGAAATCAATATCGCTCCCCCTGGCTGGCTCCTCCACTCTTCTTGTCCGGCCCGGCCCGGCCCGCCACGCCCGGTGCTCAAGCAGTGATAAGACCAGCCCGTGTCTAGGTCAGCACACTCGCGCAGCCTCCGTCGCGTTATCAAACGAAGCGAACATGTGTCTGCGCCGTTTCCCTTATCATCGGCTATGGCTGCAGAGCTTTTCGGGAGGGACTACGGACCCCTTTGCTTGCACCGTATTTTTTTTACCGAGTGTGTTTTTTCTTTTTTTTTTTTGCCGTACAATAAATACTCTTGCTTGCTCGATGCGTCGTTGCGGCGGTTCGTGTGGATTCTGTTGAATGGTTTGTGGGGCCGTGCGTGCAGCAGGGTGCGAGCAGACCATTGACCCCACCCCGCTCGTACCATTGTGCTCCCTCTGCTGCCCAGCGCCCCGCCGCTCGGCCCCGGCCCGCCCGCTACGATGTAAAGACGACAAATAATATTGAGCAGATGAATTGGGCTCGTCGCACATTGAGCCTCATTGTCACGGCGCCATAACACACAGAGAAGAGACATCAACGGCAGCAAACTCGATAAATCTGTAATAATCAATCGCTTTATTTTGCTTTCGAGTGCAGTACATGTTGGAGCTGGCTGGTTGGTTGGTAGTGTTGGTTGGGGAGCAGCATTGCCTTTTCGCCTCTCGCCCACCCCCTCACCAGAAAAATGATAATTTTCCTCACAGTTTCTGGGAAAAGCGCCGCGCGGCAAGATCGGGGGCGCTGCTCGGCTATGCGCGGCCAGGCCCCGCCACAAGCTTCGCCCAAATAAGGCTTTATGCAGTTGTGTGTGTGTGTGCGTGTGTGTGCGTTGGTATGACGCGCGGAGCGTGTGGTTGTGAGGTGCGGAGCGCCACCAAAGGCCTCCGCTTTTACGACTCACGACACCTCCGCCCTCTTCACCCCGTCCTCGTTCGTTCCTTCATCCTGAGAAAACAAAGCGCGGCTTGGCGTGCATCTTGCGCGTTTTTTGAAACACATGACTCTCATTTACAA